AGCGGCGGCGAGGAGAGCGCGCGGCGCGGAGTCCCGGGCCGGCCCTGACTCCGCCTCTTCCTCCCGGGGACAGCACGATTGGCTGCTCGCGTGGGCTTCCCTCCCGTCACCCCCTCCTCAAATCCAGCTTCCCGCGTCCCGCCCTCCGGCGGACCCTTCCGGTGGCGCGTTCCTCGTTCCAGCGGGCTCGTGAGGGCGGCCGCGCGGGCCGCCGGGCTGAGGCGGGCTCGCGAGGGCGGCCGCCGGGCTGAGGCGCCTCTGCGGTTTCTGACGCGGTGCTTTGCACGCTCGTTAGGGAGTTCGCGGAACTTTCTTCCCTCCCGGCCCTGTGAGGAGCATCGCGCGGGCAGGCGCGGCCGCGCTCGGCCCAGCCTTAGGTGCCCGGGTCGCTGCCCAAGTCAGGCCCCACTGCGGCCCCACTGAAGTTCTCGCGGGAGGCGGCCGTGCGCGGCGGGAGCTGGCGGGCTGCTGAGGTTCCTTCCCGCCACGCGCTGGCGGGCGGGGCGGGGCCGGGCCGGGCCCGGCTCCCGTGCGAAGCGCTTGCCTGGAGCCCTAGGAGCTCGGGGACAGAGTTCAAATCACGACGGACACACACCATACACACACATAACGGAGTAAAGCACTCCGTTGCAGGAATCGTCCTGACTCACCCTGTGGTTCACCCATCTTCAGTTTGAGGGGGGTCTTTTAAGATCAGACTCAGCCTGGCTTTACCAGGCAAAGTCCAGTGGAACACTTTCTGTGCTTTCAGGATGCATAGCATGTCACCGTCATTGAATACCAGCCATCTACCCTTGGGAGGACCCACCCCAACGCGCCCATTCTGGAGTAATTCAGTACAGCTTTTGTTGGTGCACGGGGTAACCTCTTCTAAGTTACCCACCCACTGGAGTGGCACGATTTGAAGGGTGGCCTCTAGGTTACTGATAAGCTGTCCGTTTCTCTGGGAAAGGCTAAGGACAGTGGAGGTAGGCCTGACTTGTTTCCCTACAGCCGCAAAACACCGTGGCCCACAGTTTTATTCCAAGTGTCACTGTCTTCCATTAGCCTTGTTGGGCTGTCTGTCTGTCTGTACAACCTGTTTCCCTTGTCAGTATAGATTTTTATCCTCATGATTATTTGCTTTAAGTTTTCTCACCGTGCTTTCTTTTCTTTTTTTTTTTAATGGTACTAGAGTTTGAACTCAGGGTTTCTTCCCTTGCTAGGTAAGCACTCTTATTAGTTGAGTCACATCTCCATTCCTTTTTTTCTTCTTTGTGTGTGGACGTGCCAGCACTGGGGCTTGAACTCAAGGCCTTGGGCACTCTCCTTTAGCTTTTTTCACCCGAGACAGGTGTTAGCCCAGTGAGCTCCCTTCCCATAGCTTGGTGCACTCCTTCCCTTCTCCACAGCTTAGCATGTTCTCTTCCTAGGCAACAGAGGCCCATTTAGTAAAGGCAGTAAATAATCAGCCTCCAACCCCCTTTACCTTGGGATGGCACTTCTCTGGGGCAGCTACCACCATATAAAACAACAAGAGCCCCTTAGAGTGACCTTCAGGTCTGGGCAGCTGCAGGGCCCCTTATCTACTATTTGGACAGCACCCATAAATCCTAGTTCCCCATGATGAAGCCCCTGGCCCACATGTCCACACCAGGGTCTCTGCCTCCTAGCCCTTCCTAACCTTCTAGGTTATATAGGTCACCTTAGACAATAACAGGTGCTTCTTCTCACTTCTCCCTTGTGAGAAGGGGGCTTGTCGGCCCCTTTCCCAGCAATAAACCTTTCTTTGTACTCTGTACGTGGATGTCTGAGTGGTTTTCTGGCAGAGTCTAAAATGCTCTGACAACAGGACTCTAGCTGTATCACTAGAGCCACAACTCTACTCCCAGATTTTTGGGGTGGTTAGAGATAGAAGTCTCACCTTCCTGTCCAGCCTGGCTTTATACTTTGAAGGTATGTGCCTAGCTTCTGTTTGTTTTCGTGATGATAACATTCTGACTGTAGTGAGGCAGATTCTCAGTGTTGTGCTGATTAGCAGTATCATTTATTGCTAAGGTTGTTGAGCATTCTTCATGTATTTGTTGCATTTGTATTTTTTGTTTTTAGAACTGCCTGTTCAATTCTCTTGCCTAATTGGATCGATTAGATTAATTAGATTGTTTGATCTTTTTGTGTTAATATTTTGAGCTCTTCATATATTCAGGGTATTAGTTCTTCATCTTGGGAATAGCTGGCAAAGATTTTCTCCCATTCTGTAAAGCAGAATCTTTGATTCCAGCAATGTTTCTTTTGCTGTGCAGAAGCTGTTTAATTATATGGAATTCCAAGTCTTCTTTCCTGAGCAATTGGTGTCAGATAAGAGCCATATATTATTCATTTAATCCTCATAACTATTGATGTAAATAATACTATAGTACTCATTTTATAGATGAGGAGACTAAGAGAAGTTGAATCATCCTCCTCTCATCTTTTCAATGTATTTGCTTCTTCAAAAACTTTATTTACAACCTTCAGACTTTCCTTCTCTTTCCCCTATTAATATATAATCAGACTTATAACTCCTGTTAAAGTGTACATTTCCAGACAGGGCTTCGTGGCTCATTCCTGTGTTTCTACCTACTTAGGAGGCAGAGATTAGAAACTGGGAGAGGTTAGCCCAGGCAAAAAGTTCATGAGATCCCATCTTACCCAATAAAAGCTGGATGTGGTGAGCCATGTTGTAATCTTAGTTATATGGACAGTGTAAATAGGAGGATTATGATGCAGATTGGCCCAGGCATGCATATGAGATGCTATTTGAAAAATATTGAAAGCAAAAGGGACTAGAAATGGATCAAATAATAGAGCACCTGTCTGGTATGTGCAAGATCCTAGTTTAAACTCTAATATGGCCAAAATAAAAACAGATTGATAAAAAATTAAGTATAAATTTCCAAAAACAGGTTTAAAATTTACCTTACCAAGAGGCCTGTGGATCCACCCTTAAACTAAGCTTTTAAAACTCTAGATAGGGGCTGGGAAGGTGGCTCAGTGGTAGAATGTTGCCTTGCACGTATGAGGCCCTGGATTTGATTCCCCAGCACCCCATAAGCAAAAAGAAAAAAGCTGGAAGTGGCGCTGTGGCTCAAGTGGTAGAGCGCTAGCCTTGAGTTGAAGAGCTGAGGGACAGCACCCAGGCCCAGAGTTCAGGCCCCATAATTGGACCAAAAAACAAAAACAAACAAAAAAACCAACTCTAGATAGAATAGGATGTTTGAGAAATCACCGGGGTAGATGTGACTGTCACTATTATCATATGAAGAACAGGAGGCTGAAAACCTTTAAGAAGTCTTCTCTAGCCAAAGTCTTGCTATATCATTCTTCCCAGGATGTAATATGCTTAAAATAAGTGTTCTAGGGAGAACAAAATTTGGCCCATACACAATCAGCCCTCAGGAACTCCTGATCTAGAAACAGCAATGAGAGCACTTGCTCTTTTTTCTTTTTTATATAATAGTCTTTACAATAGGTATGAAATGATATCTCATTATGCTTTTAACTTGCATTTCTCTGGTAATTAGTGATTCTTTTGTGTTTGTATATCTGTTGGCTATGCATATGATCATTCATATGTACACACTGAAAAGTATGATGTTAATTGTGGGCTTGTTAAATATAACCTTTGTACTGTGGAACATCCCTTTTGTACCTAATTTGTTGAGTTTTTATCATGAAAGGTTGTATTTTGTCACGATTTTTTTTTCTGCATCTATTGAGGTAGTCATGTTTTTTTTGTCTTGCCTGTTAATGTGCCAAATTATATATTAGCAAATTCAGAAGAGAATTAAAAAGATCAAATCAAATGAGATATATCCTCTTGGAATACACAGATAGATCAATATATGTAAATTAATAAATATACTTTTACAAATTAACAGAATAGGGGGGTAAAACAGAAAGGGGGAGTCTTAATCACATAACAAGCTACAGGAACACTTCATGATGGGTTTCTGAAGGACAGGTCCTTGAATGGGGTTGAGGGAGACAATAAAGGTACTAAGTTTAAAACCATGGCACACCACTCTACAGTCATTTCTGAGGAACTGCCAGTTACTTCAAGTGGCTTGGAAGTGGTAATGGAGTATTGAAAGTCATTGGAGAAAATTCAAATTCAACTGTAAAATGGAGCAGAGGATACTGGTATCATTATACTGATGGACTCTAGGAACACTTTAAAGCATATTTTTCTTTCCTTGTTCCATTGGTTAAAATTTTGTACTCCATCTCAAATAGATTTTTTTATTTTTAAATTTTATTTGTTTTTTATTTTTATTGTACAGAAAGGGTGCAGTTACAAAAATCAGGTAACGAGAACATGTCTTTTAAAACAGTATCACCTCTTCCCTCATTTTCTCCATTTTTCCCTCTTAACCCCCTCCCCAACAAGTTGTATAGTTGTACAGTTCATTTTCAAAGTAGTGTCTAGTGAGTATCACTGTTGAACTAGTTCACCCTCTGTCTCACCATTTAGGTGCTTTCCCTTGTCCTCCCCAAATAAGATAAACTTACATACAAGATAACAGGTACACAAATAAAAAACAGTGACAAAGGAGAAAAAAAAACAGAAAAAAAACCCACAAAAAGTAAAATAACCTCTTGCCAGGTGCTGGTAGCTCACACCTGTAATCCTAGCTACTCAGGAGGCTGAGATCTGAGGATCATGGTTCAAAGCCAGCCTGGGTATGTGAGACTTGTAACTCCAATAAGCCACTCAGAAAACTGGAAGTGGCGCTGTGGATCAAGTGATAGACTGCTAGCCTTGAGCTGAAGAGCTGAGAGACAGCACCCAGGCCCAGAGTTCAAGCCCCACAACTGACAAATAAATAATTAAAGAACCTCTTGTTTCTATTTCTTGGAGTTCATTTCAATAACCATCATTTTATATGATCACATGTACATAGCTATTGAGCCTTCATGATTTCAAGAATATTCTCCTTTGGTCTCACTGTGTGAATGCTAAGAGTCCTATTTAATTTATCATGTCTAGGTGTAATTCATTGTCATTTTCTACAATTTTTTTTTTTTTTGGTCTGGTTGTGGGGCCTGTACTCTGGGCCTGGGCGCTGTCCCTCAGCTCTTCAGCTCAAGGCTAGTGCTCTACCACTTGAGCCATAGTGCTACTTCCGGCTTTTTTCTTTTTGCTTATGTGGTGCTGAGGAATCGAACTCAGAGCCTCAGGCATGCAAGGCAAGCGCTCTACCGCGGAGCCACCTTCCAGCCCTTATTGTCATTTTCTATCCATTGTGTTTACTTATACATTTATAGGCACATTCTAACTACAGATGAGGGAAATCATGCAACCTATTTCTTTGGGTCTGTCTTACTTTACTTAATATAATTTTTTCTCCATTTCCTTATGAATGGGGCAATATCATTCGTTCTGATGGAAGCATAGATTTTGACTGTGTATATATACCACATTTTCTTGATCCATTTGTCCACTGAGGGGCATTTGGAATGATTCCATATCTTGGCTATGGTAAACAATGCTGCAGTGAACATGGTTGTACTGGTAGTTTGGGTCAATTGGATAAATTCCCAGGTGCACAAATATTACAGGAAGAGATAGTGGAAACACTAGGGCTCGTTTGGCATGGCTTGAAACTTCCTAAATCCAGATCCAGAATCACAACAAATTAAAGAAAAACTGGATAAACGGGATTGCATCAAATTGAAGAGTCTCTGAATGGCAAAGGGTATAGCTAGCAAAAAAAAAAAAAAAAAAGCCCAGAGAATGGGAGATTTTTACTAGCTATTCATCTGACAAGGGCCTCATCTCTAAATACACTTAAATCTCAAAAAATTAAATCCCTCAAAAACAAATCTTTTTTTTTTTTTGGGTCCGATCGTGAGGCCTGAACTCTGGGCCTGGGTGCTGCCCCTCAGCTCTTCAGCTCAAGGCTAGTACTCTACCACTTGAGCCACAGCACTACTTCCCGCTTTTTTCTTTTTTTGCTTATGTGGTG